CTCTGCCTGTTGTTGCTGGTGTATAGAAATGCAACTGTCTTTTGTACATTGATTTTGTACCCTGGAACTTTACCAAAGTCAACGGTCAATGCAAGGAGGTTTTTGATGGGCTCCCTTGAGTTTTCAAGATATAGAGTCATATCTTCTGTGAAGAGGGATAGCTTAACTTCCTCTTTTCCTATTTGGATACCCCTGATTTCCTTCTCTTACCTGACTGCCCTAGCAAGGACTTCTAGCACTGTGTTTAACAGGAAGGGTGAGAGTGGGCCACCTGGTCTTGTTCCTGTTTTCAGGGGGAATGTTTCCAGCTTCTACCCATTGTACAAAATATTGGCTGTGGGTTTATCATAGATGGCTCTTTGTATGTGAGGAATGTTTCTTCTATGCCTAGGTGCTCAAGAAGATTTTATCAAGAAAGGATGCTGAATTTTATCTAATACTTTTTCTGTGTCTACTGATATAATCATGTGGTTCTTGATTTTGCATCTGTTAACATGCTGAATTCGCGTATGATTTTATGAATGTTGAACCAGCCCTGCATCCTGGGAATGAAGCCCACCTGTTCATGGTGGATGATCCTTGAGATGTGTTGCTGAATCTGGTTTGCAAGACTTTTATTGAGAATTTTTGCATCTATGTTCACCAAGAAGATTGTCCTCTAATTATCTTTGCTTGTTGGATCTTTGCCAGGTTTGGATATCAGTATGAAGTTAGCTTTATAAAATGAGTTGAGGAGAATTCCATTGCTCTTGATTGCCTGGAATACTTTCAGTAAGATTGGTATCAACTCCTTGTACATCTTGGAAAGCATCTGCTCTAGGGCTTTTTTTAGTGGGTAGGTTTCTTATGTCCAAGTCAATTTCCTGGATTGTTATTGGTCTGTTTAGAGTTTCAATTTCTTCTTGCTTCAACCCTGGGAGGTTGTGTAATGTCAGAAAGTCCTCCATTTCCTTTAGATTTTCTAGTTTATTTGCATACAGATGTTCATAGCAATCTCTGATAATCTTTTGAATTTACTTAGGGTCAGTCATGACTTTATCTTTTGTGTTCCCTATTGTGTTTATTTGGGCTCTTTCTCTCTTTTCCTTAGTTAATCTGGCTAAGGGTCTGTCAATCTTATTTATACTTTCAAAGAAGCAATTTGGTTTCTTTCTATGATATTTTTGTCTTCTATGTCCTGCAGTTTTAACTTTATTTTGGTGATCTGGATTCTTCTGCTGAAATTAGGATGGTGGTCTCACTTCTCTAGCTCCCTTAGGTTTGGTGTTAGGCTGTTTACTTGTGATCTTTCTATTTTCTTTGATGTGTATTTACAGTGCTATAAATTTTCCTCTCAATACTGATTTTATAGCATCTCAGAGATTCTGATAAGATGTGTCTTTGTTTTCATTGTTTGTTACCAGGAATCTTTTGTCTTGATTTCTGTGTTGTCTCAGAAGTTGTTCAGCAATATGTTGGTTAGTGTGTTTTGAGGTGATCTTGTTGGTGATACTAGTTGAATGAGCCTTTGAAAGAAGAAAAAGTTTGTATGGCTTCCTCATTAATAATTAGAGTAATTAATTATTAGAGAAATAAAAATTAAAACCATAATGAGATACCATTTTACATTCAACACATACTGGCAGAAAATTTAGTCAGTAACAAGTGTTGGAAAGGACATGGATCAATGATAATTTTTCTGTTTTGTAAATGGGAGTATAAATTTGTAAATTTAAGAACAGTTTAGCAACATTGTATAAATTCGAACATCTTCATACCCTTAGACCCACCAATTTTGTAAATAACAAAATACATGTACAAGATTCTCCATAGCAAAAGATTCTGCATATTTGTAATAGCAAAAGAAAAGGAAAGAAAATTTTAAAATACAACTGAATTTCTCAATGATCAAAGATCTAAATTGTAGGATAATCACACAAGGGACAATTATATATTAAATGTAGCAACAAAAAAGAATGAAATACAGTATAAACAACAATGTGAGTGAATTTTTTATATTTTATATGTGAAGAATATAAGATACCATTTTCATAATTTTTTTAAAAAGCAAATTAAACAATATATTGTTTCTACATACACCATAATATTGTAAAGAAAAGCAAAAGGATGATTAAATGTTTCAGAATAGACCCAAATTTTACCTGTATGATGACCATTTATCTACCTAATCCTGTATTGTACCCCACAACTTTAAAATAAATTAAAACAAAAAGAAAAAAAAAGTTTCAGAATAGCAGTTACTTTTGGTGACAAGGAAAGCAGGGAAATGGAATCAAGAAAAGCACATCTGTAGAAGCAAGGTATTAGTAATGTTAGTTCTTTGACTGAGTGGTTTCAGTACAGTTGTAGTCTGTGTATTAAATCTGTGCTATATACATTGTTCTTTTCATATCAAATATTACATGATTAAAAAAACAGAATTAAAAGTTGTTCGAGTATATGGCATCTCAGGCCTACATCCTGTAAGAATTTTCTAAAAGTTTTAAAAATATCTATAAGCACATAATTAAATATACAAAGTCATTAATAGCAGTTTTATTTTAATAGCCCAAAACTGAAAACAACCTAAATGCTCATCAACTGATGAGTGGGTAAGTGGGGTATATCTAAACAATGAAATACTATTCAGCAACAAAAAAGAACAAATTACTGATATATGTAACAAGGATTATCCTAAAAAACATTATGCTAAGAGAAAGATGCAGCACAAAAAAGTAGATATTATGTAGGTTTTTTCTTAAATAACAACTTTAAGAAAAAGAGAATCTATACAGGCAGAAATAGAACAGGGAGATCTACTGAGGAAGGGAAAGAGGGTTGCATATTGACATGAGGTAACTTTTTGGGGTGATGGAAGTGTTCTAAAACTAGATGATGTCAGTATGACAACTGTAAAAATTTACTAAAAACTATCAAACTATGCACTCACGAGTGGATTTTATGGTGTGTAAATTATATTTTAACAAAGCTATTAGCAAAGTAAGCAGGTCATTCAATCAGTGATTTCCCTTCTCTCAAAAAAAAGCAGACTTTATATATATTATCTATTTTTGGTCTCTCTACAATGTTTCACTGATATATATGACTGTTTGTCATCAGTAGCACAAAAATGTTACTGTAGTTTTTGAGTGAGACTTAATGTTATGTAGTTTGAGTCCTCCAACATTTATATTTTTCAAATTGCTTTGACTTTTCTAGTTCCTTTATCTTTCTATAAAAATTTTAGAATCAGTTCATTTCTACAAAAAATTGTTGCCATATTTTAATTGGGATAGCATTGAATCTATACATCATTTGGGGGAATTAATACCTAGTAAGTTGTACAATTTAAAAAATGAATTATACCTCTCCCTTTATTAGCTCCTTCTTTTAATTTTTGTCAATGTCTTATAATTTTCAGTATACAGACCTTATACAAATTGTGTTTATATCTAAGTATTTCTTGGCTTTGGTACTATTGTAAATGGTACTGTTTTTTAACTTCCAACTTTTTTTGCTATTATTTAGAAATGTAATTGATATTTTTAAGCTGACATTGTTTCTTACAATCATGCTAAATTCATTTGTGAGTTCCAGTATCCTTTTGTAGAATCTTTGGAACTTTCTACTTAGCCAATTATGTAATCTGCAAATAGAAACAATTTTATTTCTTCCCTTTAGTCTGTATGCCTTTTGTTTCTTTTTCTTCCCTACTGCAGTGGTTAACACTTACAATATGTTGAGTAAGAATGGTGAGAGTAAACACTTTTTGCTCTGTTCCTGATCTTAGGGGAAAAGCATTCAGTCTTTCACCATTATGTATGTTAGGCAATATCTATAGGTTGTTCCTGAATGCCCTTTATATGGTTAAAGAAAATTGCTCTGTTTCTAGGTTATTGAGATATTTCTTTATGAATGGGTGATGAATTTTTGTCAAATGCTTTGCATATTACTTTTATTTTTTAATCTATCAGTATGATGAATTAAAGTATGGTATTTGGTATTTTTTAATGTTTAACTGGCTAATATTCCTAAGATGAACGCTACTTAGTCATTATGTATTATCCTTTTGTATATATTACTTGATCTGCATTGCTAATGTTTTGTTGACTATTTTATGCTTATTCTCATGAGGAATATTAGTTTGTCATTTTCTTTTCTTGTAATTTTTTTTTCCTGATTTTGATGTCAGGATAATGCTTATATCATCAAATATTTTGAGAAGTGTTATTGTATCCTCTTCTTTTTCAAGATGAGATTTTATAGTTTTATAGACTTGATATTAGATTATTTATTACCAAATAATGGTACAACTCTAGATAGGTTTAAAAATTTTCAAAATGTATATTTTGGCCAGGCTCGGGGGCTCAGCCTGTAATCCCGCGCCTTTGGGAGGCTGAGGTGAGTGGATTGTCTGAGCCCACGGGTTCAAGACCCGCCTGGGCAGGCGAGACCTCATCTCTACAATAAAATCAAAAAATTGTGGTAGCGCGTGCCTGTAATTCCGGCTACTCGGAAGGCTGAGGCAGAAGGATTGCCGAAGCCCAGCAGATCGCTCCCAGCCACTGCACTCCAGTCTGGCCGACAGAGTGAGACTCCAACTCAAAAAAAAAAAAATGTATATTTTGAAACTTAAATTTAATTTTACTGATATACATTTACTATTTAGTTAATATCAAAATAATCTCAGTTATCTTTTTTATTGAATATAAGCAATTTTAAATTAAAATATAGTATTTATTTTCCACGGACCATTTTTTATTCCTCTTCATTACACATATAATCATCTTTCAATAAAATCTAAGGAGTTGTTCTTTTCCTAATCTTTAGATTTTACTGTATTATTTTAAAAATAAACCATTGTTTTGAGCTTCGAAATGGTTTATTGTACATCAGGTTTCACTGGAAGGCTATTTTTGAATCAAAATTTTTGCAATAGTTACTTAAGTTTTTGTACATTTGGAGCGATCATGATTTGTATTTAGTATACTTTAATTAATGCTAATTTATTTCTCATCTAGTCATGCAGATGGATCAATAAAATTTTGGGATGCTTCTGCAAGTAAGTGTCAAGTTTCTCCCTATATAATGGAAACTTCTTAGTTAACATTTACTTATAGCCATCCAACACTTTTTAGTTTTGGCAATTAACATTTCAGATATATTTTAGCTTACATATATTGCTGTGTTATAAAAAACCATTTCCTATATTGTTAGATCAGTTCAAAGTATTATCTCTACTTTTATTTATAACATGAAACAAACAAAACTATATGACTCTTTGTAAGATACCCAGTATATCTACAAGAGGCATGTTGCATCAGAAAAAGTACCAAGTTTTCTCAGTTTAACTCTAGTCAAACAATTTCCTTTACTCCTACCTATGTGATCTTGGCCAAGTTCTTTCATTCCTCTAGTTTTCACTTGTCTTCCCAACTCATCTACCAAGTCCTGTGATGGTCAAAAGAAATGGTTTGATAAATGTAAAATTTGTTTAATTATTGAGAATTATGTAATTTAAGAAACAAATAAATTGCTTTGCTCAACATTGAAGAACATGCAAGGATATCCATATCCATATTCTGTACAAACAGAAAATCAAAGGAAGACTGTTGAATACTGATGATACTCCTAGCCCATAAGATAGAGTATCCCAGCAATCAAACATAAGAAAACTTATAGCCACTAGAAAAGATAAAGGAATGCACATATATATCTACAGGACAAACAATATGATAAGAACCCTAAATGTAGTACCCAAAATTCTGTTTGTTATCAGAAATGGGAGAACATTATTTGGACCAGGTAGATTCAGGAAGAGTATTTTGATGGGATAATATTAAATGTGAGTTTTGAAGATAGTTAAGATTTTGACAGGAAGAGGACAATTTAGCAATGACTCCAAGTTTTTTAGAATGAATAACCAGGAAAATGTAGGTAGGTAACTTTTTAAAAAATAAGGAATAAAAGAAAGCTTTGAATTTTGTGGTAAAAACAGAAAATTCAAGTAAAAATATCCACCAGGTAGGGAGAGCAGTCAGGTATGGAAATTAATGAAGCAACAGCATAAAAGTGGTATTGTGAAGCTATAGAAGTGAGTAGCTTCTGAGGAAGATGTACTAAACAGAAAAAAAGGGAGACTGTTGAGTACTGATGATACTCCTAGCCCTGAAGATAGAGTATCCCAGTAATCAAACAAACCATTAGCAAGAAAAAAAAAATAAAGGATTTAAAACCCCACATTCTGAGGCCCCTTTCTCATCTTACACAGCAAAGAGCAAATGCTTACAGGGAAATGCCAAAGAGCAGTAGATTTTCTTTTCATGAATCTTTTTGTGCAAATCTGAATTTGTTTCTGGAACAAAATTAATTGCATAATGATATCATTGCTCCTTTCCCATAACCTCAAAGTCACTCTTTGGCTTCCAAAATGTGTAGGGCACTTTAATACTCTAAATATTAGTGTGTATATCACCCTTAAGCATGCATAATGATATTCTAAGAAGTTAATTTTTAAATAACATATTTTATCACATTTAAAATATACATTGCAAAGGATTGCAGCATGATTAATAATTTTACTATAATCAATTATAAGAAAATATCTCCAACTTAATGGATGTCACTGAAGAAACATGACTTAGTTTCCTAACTTCGTGAAAACTGTCTAATACAAGGATTAAGATGAATTTGAATAATTGAGTTTCAGTTATTATGTGTATTCGTTTTCTATTGCTGAGTAATAAATTACCACAATAACAGCTTAAAATAATGACCATTTATTATCTCATAATTTCTGTGCATTAGAGATCTGATTACACCTCAGCTGGGTCCTTTGCTCAGGGTCTCACAAGACTGCAGTCAAGGTGTCGGCTAGGGCTGCAGTTTCATCTGCGGCTCAAGGTTCTCTTCCAAACTCCTGTGGTTGTTGGCAGACATCATTTTCTTGCACATTTAGAACTCATGTTGCTGCTTCAAAGTCAGCAAGAAGGAGTGTCTCTACCTTCAGGGAGAGCCCAGTTCCTTTTCTAAATGGTTCACCTGATTAGGCTAATTAAGAATAATCTCTTTTTTGATTAACTCAAAGTCAACTAATTAGGGGACTTGATTATATCTGCAGTATTGTAATGTAAAATAAAATAATCATGGGAACCATATTTCATCTGACTTCAGAAGCCAGGCCATAGCACCTAATACAATGCCTTGCCCACTTAAAAAAAGCGATTTTAGTTTGACATAATTTCAAGCTTTCAAAAAATTACAAAAAAAAAAAAGCTATGAACTGTTGTATACTTTCAATCAAATCCCTCAAATTTCAGTGTATACTGCATTTGTTCCCCTTCTCTCTCTCTTCTCTCTCTCTCACCCTTTTTCTCTCTCCTCCATATATTCTGTTATACACATGTACATACATATATATAGCTTTTTTAGTAACCATTTTAGAGTAAGTTGTAGACACAATGCTTCACTAATACTACATATACTAAATACTTCATTGTGTATTTCTTACATACAAGGGCATTCTCTTACATAACCAAAGCACAATTATCAAAACCAGGCAATTAACATTGATAAAACACTGTTGTCCAGTCTCTAGATCTTATCAGCTTTTGCCAGTTGTCCCGGTAATGACCTTTATAACAAAAGAAAATCTAAGTTCATTTGTTGCATTTAGTCATCATATCTTTTGAGGTTTGTTTTTGTAAAATCTAGTACAGTTCATGTATTTCATGGCATTGACATTTTTTTTTTAGTAGTTCAAGCCAGTTATTTTGTAGAATCTTCTTCAATCTGGGTTTGACTTGTTTTTCATGATTAGATTCAGATTATGCACTTTTGTCAGGACTCCTGATTTTTAAGACTTTTCTCAAGTATCCTTTGTAGAATCAGAGATTTTTATGGGGAGTTATAACCATGATCTCAAACGGAAAAATATTTCCCCAAATAAATATTCTTGAAAACAGTTCACAAACCCAAACTTTATGAGATTATATCTGACCCTTTCTTGACACAAAGTCACTCAGGAACGATCCCTTCTTAAATAATTACAGATTCTTGGGTTCCAAATATTGCTGACTGGTAAATTACAAATGTTTCTCATCTGAAGATGTGTCTTAAAAATTTATTGAAGAGGAATAAACCCTCTGGGAATAGCATCACCCTCAAATCTAGCAATGAAGGGAAAAAATATAAAAAAGGAATGAGGGATCTCCCCTAGGAAAGAATTATGTTCAGTATGTCCATTGTAAACTTTCTGAGCCCCAATGTTTCATCAATAAGTGATGATAAAAATAACCACTTCATAGGACTTTTTGAAGGCCACATGAGAAAGTACCTATACATTTGCTGGTGTATAATCTAAATTTAATAAATAATCTAAATTTAATAAAATTTTTCCCTTATAGTCTCCCTTGAGCTACTGTACTGATATGAAAGCATGACATTGAATTCTTACTAGTTAAAAATTTAATTCATTTTTTCTACTTGAGTTTTACATTTGTGGTTTAACAAATGTATTGAAAGCCTTAATAACAGCTAAGAGTTAAGTTTAAATTAGAAGATAACTATGCTTCAATATCTTTTAGTAACTCTGCAGATGCTGTACAAGTTAAAAACTTCAAAAGTATTTGAAAAACAGAAATTAGGAGATGGAAAACAAACGTGTGAAATTGTAGAGGAAGATCCATTTGCCATTCAGATGATTTACTGGTGTCCAGAGAGCAGAATATTCTGTGTATCAGGAGTCTCTGCATATGTAATAATTTATAAATTCAGCAGACATGAAATTACTACCGAAATTGTGGTAAGTCATTTAAAACTCAATTTTCAGACTTACAGTTATTAATAGAAAGCAATTATCATAGATTTGGGGCACTCCTTACTATGGTTTTAAGCCATCAAGTACAAATACAGGATTTGTAATTATAATTGTTACTTAATAGAACACATTAAAAAATTCATTGGCTTAAAATAACAAAAACAGTTTTCTATCAAAACTTGATTGTTTTCAATGCCAAAATGAGTTTAGTTCATATTTTAAGTTAATTTTGCTGCAAATTAAACATGTCATATTCTCATTTTTCTCTTTGATATTATACAAGTTGTACCTACCTGGCCAAATCCAGTCAATTCTTTCTGTGTACTAGTTGCCAATATTAGAACTTAAGCATTTGTTTTTTAATTTGTTTGCTTTTATTGACAAATAAAAATTGTACATATTTGTAGCATACAACGTATGTTTTCAAATATGTATATATTGTGAGTTATACATATATACTTCTATATATACTCATAAAATGTATAGGCTTTATACAGGCAGTTATTGATTTATTTTATGTATAGAAGTCAAATTAATGCAGGCTTTGTTCTATACTTTTATTAATTTTTTAAAGTTTATCTGATTTGTATTTTCTTGTCAACTGATTGACATAAATGATTATAATCTGAGCTACAATAAGATTGTTTTTAATTATTTTCTATATAAAAACAATTTTTATAAGGTAGAAGTAATTCTGGGGCAACCTTACCTAATCTTAATTTTAGAAGCAAAGTACTTTGATAATTCAAAATAATGATGATTTTATGGAATAAATGAAATCTAAATTGAGGTAACTGTAGATAATTGTCCTTCTCCACCCTGCCCATTTTACCAGAATATAAAGATTATGAACTATTTGGCCTGTGTATTAGTGTTTTCACCTCAACATCTAAAATTAATATTACACTATCATAGTGTATTAGCTAAAATTCCAGGCTTTGAAGTCAGATAAACCAAGGTTTTAATTCTGGTTTTTCCATTGAATACCTTTGTGACTCAGTAAGTCACAAGACTGCTAGTCAATAGTGGAGTTGGAAGATTCAATTTCATCACTTAAATAATTTCCTATGTAAATAAAATTGAAAATGAAAATAAAGTGGAAATATTAATAACAGTTTCATTAGGTTTCTGTGATGAGTGCATAAAGACAATGGCATAGTGCTTAACTATATACTAAGTGTTCAATAATTGGTAATTGTATGTCACCACTAGAAGTTTTTTTGCAGTTTTAAGATAATTATGACAATCATTTTGATAATATTCCTGTATTTACTGCCACATAATGACATTTTTTGAAAGCAATTGTTCTCAATCTCAAAAATGCTTATATTTACATTATAATGCAAATACTTATTATAAAATTAATTCTAATGAATGCATTCATGAAGTTCTGAGTTTTTAAACATTTTTAGTTTTAGAAAAGATTTTTGGATCACCTTTTTAGTCTTATGTAAATTATTATATGCTTTTATTAAGTAATTCTGATCAATCCAATGAAATTAAACAAGATCTAAGGTAATGAAACAACCAAAAATATGGAATTGCTTTTAGAAAATTTTTACTGAATTAATGTAAAGTCAAATGCAATGACATACACATACACATATAACCATTTTAATTAATTTCATTGGAATAATCATGATCAATTTCTCCTCTTATTTTATCATATATTAAATTATAATTTATATTTTATCTTAAAGAATATTTATTATATAAAAACTTTACTTCCACTATTAGGTTTTTTTTAATAATTCTGTATAATTTTTTAAATTACATTTTTTAATGATTGCCATTGATTTTCCATATAATTCACTACTTACTTCAGTTTGAGTTACTCGCAACTGTATTATAAATTGAAGTTGAATTTAATAATCTGATAAAAATTGTGAATGATTATAAAATAGTTTCAGATATTTTAATGTAGTTATCTATTATTATCATGACTTAGATTAAACTAAAACTTGATTTTTTTTAAGTCATTAGAAGTACGACTTCAGTATGATGTTGAAGATATTATTACCCCTGAACCAGAAACAAGTCCACCATTTCCAGATCTCTCATCACAGCTTCCTTCAAGGAGTCTTTCTGGGAGCACTAACACTGTGGCTAGTGAAGGAGTAACAAAGGACAGTATTCCATGCCTCAAGTAAGAGTTTCTATCAAATTTTTAAACAATTTCACATATTAATCATATAATTCTTTGAAATTATGGCAAATTAAGTCATTCTTCTCTCTTAATTAAGTTGTTGTCAAGTAATCTATAATTCACCAGGGGTACCCTGGTCTTTTTTTGAACATTCATGAAAAGGGCACAATATTTTGAACATTCATGAAGAGGGCACAAAATATTAATTATTGCTATATTTCCTTCACAAAAGGACCCTAAAGAAAACATGACTTTGACAGGATGGGGAGTTTAGCAGGGTAGGAACTTGGCCACTGACTTGGTACTTTCCAACTGAAAAAGTATGCTTATAAAATGTCTTTAGGCTTCTCAGAGTTAAAAAGAAAACCAAGATTACTATCTACTATGAGTACTACTATATTAGAAAAAAGAATCATAAGGCTCAAACTTTGCCTGTACAGTGACCACTTGTATACCTAACCCTGAACTCTACCCCACATCTTTAAAACAAAATTTTTTTTAAAAAGAAAAAGGAATCTCTCTGATCATGATAGTATATTGCATAATCTTTCTTCTTTTATAATCATTGCAATTTGTTAATAAACTACATTCTCTCAATATATCTAAACAAAGTTTAGCATCATATCCAACAAAACCTAAAGTTAATAAAGCCCATAGTAATATTTGTTTTTATACTTTCTAGTAATAGGGCACATATCACTATTTACTACTTCTGTACCATCAGACCACATGTTTCTAGTGTTAGCTGGTTGGAGAATTAAATTTAATCAGGAAGTTTCCCTGAGTTCCATATAAAAACATCTCCGTGGCATCTGTTGTTTTTTGAGTTGATGATGATCATCCTGACTAGAGCTAGGTGGTATCTCAGTGTAGTTTTAATTTGCATTTCTTTGATGACTAGTGAGGCTGAGCATTTTTTCATGTGTCTGTTGGCTGCTCACATGTCTTTTGAGAAGTGCTTATTCATATCTTTTGCCCACTTTGTAATGGTACTGTTTGTTTTTTTCTTTTCAGCACATTTGAGTTCCTTGTAGATCCTAGATGTTAGGCCTTTGTCAGATATACAGTTGGCAAATATTTTTTCCCAGATTGTAGGTTGTCTCCCTGCTCTCTTGATGGTTTCTTTGGCTTTGCAGAAGGTTGTCAGTTTGATGAGGTCCCATTTGTCTACTTTATCTCTTATGGCATGGGCACTTGGGGTTTTATCGGTGGGAGTGTAAACTATTACAACCTCTGTGGAAAATAGTTTGGTTATTCCTAAAGGTTCTAAAAATCGACCTTCCATACAACCCTGCAATCCCCCTACTGGAAATATACCCAGAGGAACTCAAATCACTCTGTGAAAAAGATACCTGCACACTTATGTTTATTGCAGCATTGTTCACAATAGCAAAAACATAGAACCAACCGTGCTGCCCAACAAAAGAGGTCTGGATAAAAAAATGTGGTACATATACATGATGGAATGTTACACAGCATAAAGAAGGACAAAATTATGAATTTCAAGCAACTTGGTTGGACTTAGAGTCTACAATACTGAGTGATCTATCACAGAAAAAAAGAACTGAGTATCACATGTTCTCACTCATAAGTGGACCTTGAATAATTATCGTAATACTATAAGAAAAGGATTGTCAGTAGTGGGAAATTACCCGGGAGGGGGGCAAGATTGTTAGTAGCAGCACACTTCATCAACAAGGATACCTGCTTGTACCCCACATCTTTAAAATTAAAAAACAAAATAAATAAATAAATGCATCTCCTTCTGCTACTTGAGGAACTTTAGATAGCTAGTTTCCTCATTTCTCCTGAAAATATTTATGGAAAATCTAGAGAAAGATTTTAGCAATCTTATACAGATTTAGCTGTTGCTATACTTATATAATCATTGATTTTCCTTCCAAAACTTTCATGATATAATTTTACTTATTTAATCTTCTGTTTATTATTTTTGCTCCATTTAATTGATTTGATTAAAAGGAAAACCAGAAAGAGAACAAAAATTTCAGCACACCTACAGAAAGTATCGCAGATTTATTTATTAACTAAGACCAAGACCTATCATTAAAATATGAATCTTCTAATGACATAAATATTTTTCTTCAAAATTAAAAAAAATGAAGATAGGGATTTAAAAGATAGGATTGAGAGAGAAAAACCAGTGAAATCTGGTAGTGGAGAGGACATAAGCAGTATCAATTGTTGAAGTATGTATAGAAGCATTTACTGTTTACTTAAGAAATAGCCATGACAGTTTTAAGAATAATTAAGAGAACCCAAAGGAAAAAGTTAATATAATTCTATATTGTGTAGTTATTGCCTAAGGACCAAATGCCAAACCTGATTTAAGTATATTATTTTATGATTTACATTATATTACAAGTGAATCTTGAGTTGCATATTATCTGTGCTTTGCTAAATTATATGTTGGCATTCATCCTTAAGTCATTTTCCTTTGTTAATTTAGATTCCTATATACATGCAACTTGTCAATGCTTCATTTTTGCAACATTGCACAAATGTGTATATTGATAAGAATTGCAATTATTTGACTTTTTTTGTTTTTGCCTTTGTACTTCCTAGTATGCAACATGGGTGGTCATCATAGGCCTCATTAAAATGATGAGATTAAAACAAAATCTTGAAGTAGATGAGGGAATTAGTCAAAGAATGTCTTGGTGGAGGAGTGTTCCAGGCAGAAGGAATAGCTATAGCAAGGCTTTAAAGTAATTGACATTTTTTAAAGGACAGTAATGAAGTCAGTATAGCTAGAGCAAAGGGCGGGAGTAGGGGAAATATAGTAGAAGATGGAGTCATATAGGTACTAAAGAACCAATTGCAAGTCATTGTAAGGTTCTTGCCTTTTTATTCCAAATGAGAAATAGGGAGTCATTATAGGGTTTTTCATAGAGAAGTGACATGATCAGACTTAATTTTTAAATAGATTACACTAGTGGTTGTGTTGAAAATGAATTTGGAAATGGAGGGGCAGAAGCAAGCAGACCAGTTAAGAGGCTATTACAGCAAACTAATTAGAGATCATGTTAAGGGTTACCAGATTTAACAAATAAAATACAGGGTACCCATTTAAATTTGAATTTCAGATAAACTGAGTATTTTTAGTTATCAGTATACAACAAATATTTTATTTTGCCTACTCACACTAATAAAACGATTTATTGTTTATCTTAGATTTAAATAGGTGTCCTGTATTTTTATTTGGCAACTGTTACTTGGGTGATAATAGTAAAAAAGTAAAAGAGATTAGGTTCTGGATAGCATCAATAATATTTGATAATTGATCGATTGGGAAGTATGAGAGAAGATAATTAATCAAGAGTGACTTTTTAGGTTTTTTTTTTTAACTGAGTAGCTAAAAGAATAAGAGTTGCTATCAATTAGAATAGAAAAGGCTACAGGTAGAGCAGGTTTAGAGGAAAATAACAGAAATTCAGGTATGGGATGTATTGAACTCTTAAGTGGTAGTAGGTTAGTGGTCATTCTTTTTATTTTTGTGCCTTATAGCTTACATGTATGTAACAAAAAATTCTTAAGAAAAATAATTTAAAAGACTTTCACAAAAGGAAAAAATGGAAATGATGAAGGCCAGTTGAAGTTGTGGGTCTGAATGACTAAAAAGCCACTTAAAGAAATCACTAAGCAGTTATAAGTGGGTCATTATATTTTGAGAAAACTAGAAGGCTCTGTCTACCTGTGTGCTACCCACAATTACTGGTGGTGTATATTTCTATAGGATGATTACATTTAAATTCTCAAAATAAGCTTGAGCATGCTTATTTAAACTCTGTATGTGATAGAATTGTTTTATCTCTTTCTCCTAGTGTTAAGACACGGCCAGTGCGGATGCCTCCAGGATACCAAGCAGAACTTGTTATTCAGTTGGTGTGGGTAGATGGTGAGCCTCCCCAGCAAATTACTAGTCTTGCTGTAAGCTCGGCATATGGAATGTAAGTAATTAAACTTTCTTTCTGATGTGTATTATTTAGTTAATAAGATTGGTATTTTTTAATGTTCCTTTTAAAATATTTAATTGAAGTCCTAAAAATGGAAAGAAGCCCTTTCTTGCATTTTTATCAGATTAAACATTGTATAAAAATAATAATAATTTAAACTTACACTGTGGTTATTTGTTCTTTCTTGATGTCAAAACTGTGACAGTGTTTCCGCTTTTTGTTATTAGGAAATTGTTAAGATATTATTACACTTACACTTTTTTGTTTCTTTTTATATATTCTGTCCCTTTTCTCTTTGTGTTTTATTCACTAACTCCCTCTTCAACTGTGTCTAATCTGATGATATATCCAGCCATGGAGTTCAATTTCAGTTATTTTATTTTTTAGTTTTACATCTGCCGTTTGACTCTTAAAGCTTTATTTCCTTGAACATATTGAATTTAGTTACTTTAAATATGTTTTTGATACTTCCATATTTGGTATCTAGTCTATGACTTTTCTTAGTTTGGGGTCACATTATATTATTTTGATGTTTGCCAGTTAGGTTTTTTTTTTAGTTGTTTCTGTGTTTTTGTTTTTTTAATTGAGAAATGAACATTATCATTTGATGACCTAGATGATATTATTTTCCTCCAAAAAGTATTTATATTTCCTCTGGCAGTCTAGGTTAAACGATTATCGAAGGCTCAGAAGAACATAATACAATCAGACATTAGATCTTTAATAAAAGTTGGATTTTATCCTCTTTAAAATCTAATTAAATTAAATTAATTCTTACTTGTAGTTTGTAGCTCCCCACAGAACTTTTGTCAAACTATACTGCCACCAGCAATGTTTAGAATACCTGGTTTCCCACAACCTTTCTAACAGTGTATAACCAAACTTTTGATCCTTGTCAATTTATTAAGTAAAAAGTAGTATGTTATTATATTGGTAGATTTTTTTTGTATATTAAGTGAAATTAAACATATTTTCCAATATTGTGAAATTTCTTTTTCTAGTCTTTGTCCATTTGTCTGCACAGTTGTTGGCCTTTCTCTTAGAGATTTATGAAAACTATTTACATATTATGAAAGTTTGTGTTCTCTGTGCTATAATTTGCAAATATTTCCATGTTTTTGTTTGTCTTTTGACTTTGTTTAGGATGGTTTATTTCCCATGCGTAACTTTTTTTAAAAGTTTATGTAATTCTATTTTTTATTATCTTCTTTATGCCTCTGAATTTTTTAGAAAGACCTTCTTCACTTTAAGATAATTAAAAATTATTATATTCTCGAGGTTTGGTCCCCTCCCCTACCTTGGGTAGGTGAATCTCCTCTCTCTCTCTCTCTCTCTCTCTCTCTCTCTCTCTCTCTCTCTCTCTCCAATTTATCTTCTAAATAAACTATATTTTCCAATCTAAAAAAAATTATTATGTTCTCTCTAACATATTTATTGTTTCTTTTGTATATTTAAAGCTTTAATCTATCTGGAATTTTTAAAAATATAAGGATTAAATTACATTTTTCCTGATTACTAAGAACTGTGCCAATACCATTTCCTGAATACTTCACCTTTTCTCTACTAATTTGGAATCAACTTTTGCCAAATAATATATTTCTTGGATATGTGGCATTATTTCTGTACTTCCTAAGCTAAATCTGGTAAACTCTAAGAGCACTCCTTAAAGCTATCAGTAAGGAAGAATACACAGGAAAAAAAATACTTCCTTTGCATTCCCAGACTTTTCTGCAGGGGAGTATGGAGGATATATGTGAACCATAGAGTATTAGGTGCTTGCTTCTGGACCAGAAAATTCTTTGGTAAGAAATCTTGCAGAAATAGTCAATGGATGAAGGGGGAGAGTAGGAAGGGACTGTCGAACAGCCTATAGTTCTTATTATTTAGTATAGCAAGAATATATGATTATTCTCTAGCCCAAGTAATTACCATGGAAGATGGTTGAACTCAAGTCATTTTTACTTTCCTGCTCCAAAAGTTGATCTGGAAAGGCAGGGGGACAATTTTTGTCTGGTATGTTTGTGCTGCTATTTTTTAAAAAAATACCTTAAGCTGGGTAATTTATAAACAACAGAAATGTATTGTTCACAGTTCTGAAGTCTGAGAAGTTCAAGATCAAGGCTCTAGCAGACTCAGTGTCTGGTAAGGGTCTCTTCTTCAAAGTTGGAGCTTTCTAGCTGTGTCCTCATATGGCAGAAGGTAGAAACAAGCTCCTTCAGACCTCTCTTATGAGGAAACTAATTCATTCATGAGGATGGAGGCCTTATAACCTAATCACCTCCCAAAGGCCTCATCTCTTAATACCATAACCTTGGGTATTAGATTTTAACATTTTAAATGTTGGGGGTGACAAAAGCATTCAGGCCATAGCAACAAGATAACTGCTTCTAGTCATACTGTACTGTAGGACCTACTCAGGGTAATACATGAAGAAAATGAATCAATGACAGATGAATTAGAAAAGAAGGAAGTGGAAAAAGAAGTCATGACTATGTATGTAGAACAACCAAACACTCAAGCAGATAAATTATTAGAATTAGTAACTGAGTTTAACAAGATTACTTGATACAAAGTCAGTGTAAAAATAAATTATATATTCATATACTTAAAATAGAGCATAAATTTTATAAAAATAATGATTTTGTTTATAATAGAATTTTTTAAATCTAGGAATAAGTTTAACAAAAGATGTTCAAACCTTCACACAGAAAACTATAAACTTGCAATAAATTAAGGATATAAATTATGCACTGAAAAGTTTAATAATTAGTGATATCATTTTTCACAAATTGACTTATAGATTCATCATGATCCCAATCTAAATTTCAGCAGAGTCTTCCCCAAAATTGAAAACTGCTTCTAAAGTGTATAAAGAAATGCGACTAGCTAAGACAGTATTTAAGAAAAACAGAGTTGAAAGACTCTACTAGAAAAACAAAACTTATTAAATAAAATTCTATTAATTATGATAGTGTTTTATTGCCACAGGATTGATATACAGATATACCAATGGACAGAATAAAGAGTCCAGGAATAGATACAGGCATATATAGCCAAGTTAGCTCTGCAGAGTATTGGGGAAAATTATAGTTTTCATTCTCTCCAAGAAATAATACAAAGTCAATTGAATAATCACATGGAAAAAAATGAAATTTGACTTATCCTTCCCAGTATGCATCAAGATATTATAGAAGAATATCTTCTTAACACTTGGGTTAAGAAATAATTTCTTCCATAGTATTCAAAGAGTACTAAACATAAAGTAAAACATTAATAACTTCTTGAAAAAATACCATTATCTTTTTTCAGTGAAACAGGCTGAGTATGGTGTCTCTTGCCTCTAATCCCAGCACTTCAGAAGATTAAGGTAGGAAGATTACTTAAGGCCAGGAATTTGAGACAAGCCTAAGCAAGAACCCATCTCTATTTTTAAAAAATTTAAAAATTAGCCAGACATAGTAGCACATGCACTTTTAGTTCTAGCTATTTAGGGAGCTGGGGTGGGAAGATTGCTTGAGCCTAGGAGTCCAAGGTGGCAGGGAGGTATGATTGCACCACTGTACTCCAGACTGGGTGACAATGCAAGACCCTGTTCTAAAAATTTTAAATTAAAAAAAAGTGAGGGAGACGGGGCAAGATGGCAACGGCATAGGTGAACTGGTGAGATTCTCTGAACGGACCAAGACTGCATACTGCTGAATAGACAGACTGTAAAGCAGAGGGAAAATGAACAAAACCAGAAGACCCTCATAAGGAAGAACAGGTCATTGCAGAAGAGAAATAAAAGCAACCCCACCTTCCCTCAAAAACAGAATTGAAGAGGGGGAGGGAAAGGGGGAGAGGGAGAAAAATCTACAGAAATGAAGAAAAACCAAAAGAAGAGTATGGGTCTCTCCCAGACGCCTGGGAGAGCAGACACTGAGAAAAATGACTTTGGAATACAAACAATGAAAAGTCCCCAGAATGAAGGGTCTCAAAATGCAAATGTAGATATCAAAACAATAATGGAGAGATTAAAAAGAATTGAGGAGACACAAGAAGAAACTAGGAAGGAGCTGATATCTGAGATAACAGTAATAAAGAATACTGTGAATGAAATAAATAACAAATTGATAAGCATGGAAAGCAGAATTACCCAAGCAGAAGAAAGAATCTCAGAGCTTGAGGACCAAAATATAGAAATAACCCAAACTCTTAAAAACACAGAAAATAAGCTCAAAAAGACAGAACAAAACCTTCAAGAGATGAGTGACTACCTCAAGAGGCCTAACCTAAGAATAATCGGACTCCCTGAGGCAGAAAGAGAAACAGAGACCACATTGGAACAAACTTTCCATGAGATCATTCAAGAAAACTTCCCTTATCTAATCAGTGATACAAAAATTCAAACACAAGAGATTCAGAGAACCCCTGCAAGACAACAAATGAGAAGACCAACTCCTAGACACATAATAATTTGCCTAAATAAAGTAGGCACAAAAGAAAAAATCCTAAAGGCAGCAAGAGAAAAAGG